TCTAGGCTACATGACTTAGCTGTGGACCCAACTAAATGTGAAACCTCRTCATAGCCTAGAGTGTCGAAATTTTGAAAAACAGAARAACAATTAACAGGATCTGGTTSGAGTCGATGCTGAACAGGAAGAATTTTAAAAATGTCCTGTCTGATACRCTCAATCTTATTAGAAAAGAACTGGATGAAAGAATTTGCCAGACAGGTGTCGTCAGAACTAGGAGGATACTGTAAGCTTTGTTTAGGCTGGAGTAGCCCGGACACAATCTTAAAAAGAGCACGTTATATATTATATATTATATTATAACTTATATAACTATATTTTTGGATAGTTAAATAGGATATGAAGTATATCTAGATAAACTCGATGGCATAGTGTCTACTGCTTATTAATATGCAGTAGACAGTGGCGGATCCAGGATTTTTCAAAGGGGGGTTCCGTTTATTAAACTGTGTATAATTCTCTTTTGTTTAGTCGATGTCTGACAAAAAAATTGGCACTAATCACCTAATTTACTATCTAGTAACGGAACGTAAAGGTAAATTAAACATTATAACAGCAAATATTTATCATTTCGTGTTCAACATTATCCTCGTGGATACTTTTAAGCAAAATTTATATAAGACATATTTCTATTACCTAAAAGATCAAACCTTCAAGGAGGGTTCCGTGGAACCCTTCGAACCCCCCCTGGATCCGCCACTGGTAGACACAAAAAGGAAACACAAGTAAAAGTACATCGTTATGGCTGAATATATGGAAGAAATAGTAAGAAGAAAACAAAGTATTCTATGAATTAAGGGGAATGAGTCAGCCGATCTAAAGATAATACTCAAGCGATTCTTTGCCGAAGTAAAGCAAAAAACTAAAACAGAAACGAAAAAGACTATGCTTGACTATGAGCAAGACCATTAAACACGATGTGGTAATAAGTGCTTACACAATATTTTGGTTTACAAGATCCCAAGCTGAGCTCGAGCAAAATTTTCTGAACGCTTTCAACAACTGTCAGGTATAACTTTTTTCAATATAAGTCTTACAACTCCAGTTAGCTAGCTGCAAAGTCAGCCAATCCAAATGTCTTCATCCATAGCCTGATTCAGATTTACTTAAAAGTAGAAAAAAAACTTTTTACAATAAACATATAGCCAATTTATCGTTTAAAAAGGTAAAAACTTCTGCGGAATTACATGTATTCGAAACTAAATTCGCTTCGAATATAGTTGGTTGTGAACGAACGAATTTCATGAAATATTATATTAAGCTTATGCGTTGAATATTTCACATATTTGCGTCTCTTTCTTTTGTAATTGTTTTCATTTATGTTATCAATAAGTAATAACACGATTTCTCGTTTAATTTGGGATAATAAGCACTCGTGTGTTCTTTAAATGGCTGAAATTGAAATTTCAACTCTTCAAAAAACACACGAGTGCAGATTAATCCCAAATTGAACACGAAACCGTGTTATTATACCTATACTAATCATTAGTTGACCGCAAATCAATGAAATGATTTTTTCCTGGTTGTTTATTTTCTTCTATTTCTTGGGCTCTATGTTATTATTTTCTCCCTTGTTGCCATTTCTCCGTTTATATTATTTTTGTCTGTGTTAATATTTAGACGCATAATTATGAACATGTACTTGGCATTGTTTACGACTGGCTGTAACATTTCCGAACGACCGTTCAAAAAAGAATGAGTTTCCTCCACGCGTTCCCATTGCAAGCAGACAAATAGAAAAATTATTATGATAAATTAATACATAAATCGAAGTTTACCCACCATCTAAAAGTGGGAACGAACCGTTGGTAATTTTTTATATACATTTGAAAATGTACGCACATAATTGCGAGAACTACAACCTTTTTGCAATCAAGTGAATATATATATATATATATATATATAATATGTATATATACAGCGATATGCAGAAATTCTGATCCTTTTGTATATACACAAAAGTATATCAAAAGCCGATATATCAGAAATTATTGGATACCATCTCTCATAGTGATAGGCAACCCGAATAGAACATCAGCGATGACAATCCATAATTTCTGATATACTTTTGATACACTTGTATATATGTACAAGTATACGACGGCGAACAACTTGCTACTGAGATATAACGATGGCATATTAAAAGATTTTCTCAAAGAACAGAAAAAATCCAAAAGACAACTTATTCACATGTATTCAAGAAGAATTTTAAACGGTAAGAACAGACGAAACAATAAAGAATTAAGACGAAACAATAAAGAATTAAGACGAAACAATAAAGAATTAAGACGAAACAATAAAGAATTAAGACGAAACAATAAAGAATTAAGACGAAATAATAAAGAATTAAGTGCAAGTTAACTGACACGGAATCTGTTTTGGTATATACCAACGAGGTAATTTCAAAAATGTCAGTCACTACCTACAAAACAGTGAAACAGTTACTTACTGTTTTGCTTAAAAAGTTGTTATTTTTATATGACAAAACGTTAATGTTCTTTCAATTAGGTGTATATCAAATAATAATATAAATTTGAAAAACTTACCAAACAGTGGTGTGAAATGAAGAATTTGATAAAACAACCAGAAAACCCGCGAATAGCTCATCCCCCAAGACATGATGCCGGAACGTGTTGCGAGGAGCTCCAACCACTACTGAATATATCTTTGAAGAATAATCACAATTTAAAGCCTATTATTTAACAGCAATTTAGTTTATGAATGTTTAACTTCTTGAGGGGTATTTCTAGCTGTTCATGCAAGAAATTCTATAAAGAAATTTGAAAAAAGGAAAAAAATGAAATCTTAGTTTCAAGACAGGTAATTAATTTCTAACAAAATATCCTTTTAAATATTTAATAGCTTTTTCTTCAATTGACCAAGGAATTATGCTTCTACACTTTTTCGTTTCTCCAGACTGCCTTTTTTGTCGTGTTTGCCTCAAGGCTATTTTATCAAGGAAAAACATATTTTTGTGTTGATTGATGAAACATTGCAAGTCTTTCATCAATAATGATCACGTATTTAAACAATGGTACCTTCTTTTTCTCTTTCTCTTTCTCTTTCTCTTTCTCTTTCT